TTATACAAAATTTCATAGTCTAGCCCCAACAGCTTGGTTATCCACTTCTGTTGGATTGGGGAAACCACCTTTTGGTCTAACAGGTATTTGAGTGCCTGCTGATCTGTCTTAATGAAAAATTTATGTCCTTGTAAGTAATACCTCCATTTCTGAACTGCCATAAGAACAGCAAGGAACTCTCTTTCATAGACAGAAAGAGCCTGATTTTTGGGACACAACATTTTACTCATGTATGCAATTGGTTTTCCTTGTTGCATGAGTACAGCACCCACTCCCTTTCCACTAGCATCAGTCTCCAGCACAAAAGGTTTTGAGTAGTCTGGTAAAGCCAAGACAGGTGCCATCACCATGGCATCCTTTAGTTTCTGAAAAGCTTCTTCTGGTTCCTTTCCCCATTTAAACTGATCCTTTTTTAATAACTCTGTCAAAGGTCTGCTAATCATTCCATACCCTTTTATGAATTTCCTGTAATAACCTGTGAGGCCCAGAAAACCCCTTAGTTGTTTGAGGTTGGTAGGAGTTGGCCATTTAACCATGCCCTCAATTTTCTGTGGATCAGTAGAAACCCCTGTATAGGATATGATATGCCCTAGATACTCAATTTGAGTTTGCCCAAAGTGACATTTGCTTTTTTTGGCATAGAGTTGATGCTGCCTGAGTATGAGTAACACCTGTTCTAGGTGTGTTAAGTGTTCCTTCCAACTCTGGCTGTAAATAAGTATGTCATCAAAGAAAACTAAGACAGTCTTCCTCAATAATTGTCTGAAAACCCTGTTCATCAGTGATTGAAAGGTGGCAGGGGCATTGCAAAGGCCAAATGGCATGACAAGAAATTCATAATGACCATTGTGTGTCCTAAATGCTGTCAGATAGCTATGTTCCTTGTTCATTAGAATTTGGAAGTAGCCTGACCTCAAGTCAATTTTAGAAAAATATCTGGCTCCTTGCAATTCATCCAAAAGTTCATCTATGACTGGAATTGGGTAGTCATGTTTCACAGTCAACCCATTAAGATATCTGTAGTCTACACACAACCTCCAGGTAGCATCATTTTTCTTTACCAATATCACAGGAGAAGCAAAAGGACTCCTACTCTCCTGTATAATCCCAGATTCCAGCATTTCCTTGACAATCTTTTCTATTTCTTCTTTTTGATTGTGAGAAGTTCTGTAAGGGAATTGATGCTTTGGCGAGCTATCAGGTTTGAGAGTGATTTGGTGTTCAATACCCCTGCTAGGGGGTAATCCTTTTGGTTCAAGGAATACATCCTCATACTCCTGTAGAATATTTTCAAGCTCACTGTCTTCATTGATTTGATCAGGCTTGTTGACAGCCACCCAATATACTTCTTCAATTGAGTTACTAACATCCTCATGCAAGAGTTTGTATAGTGATGGGCCTGAAATAAATTTGCAGGTTGCCTCTGATTTTAATGCTTGAACCTTGACTCTTTTCCCTTTTAAAGTAACAGTGAAGCTCATCTTTTCATAGTCTAGCTCAATGGGAGTACAACTCTTGAGCCAATCCCCTCCCAATATCACATCACACCCCACATTATCCAAGACTCTTAGGGAATAATTGAAATTATGCCCTTGCATAGACCACTGAAACCCTTCCACAATGTGTGAGCTTATCATGTTCTGCCCATTTGCAACCTTCACCCTCAGTGGTTTTGCAGATGACAAGTTGAGTCCCAATGTTTTGGCTGTACTAGCTTGAATGAAACTGAGGGTACTCCCTGAGTCAATGAGTAAGTGTAGTTTGTGCCCCTGTGTAGTACCAAACACCCTCATGGTTGTGAGGCCATCCTCCCCTGAAATGGAGTTTAAGGACATTTGTACTTCTTCAATGGGTTCAGAGTAGCTTGTCACTTCTTCAATCTGAATTGAGGAATTTAGATAATTAAGTTCCTCCTCTTCTGTCATGGTCATGTAATTCAACCTATGCTTACATCTGTGCCCATAGGTGAATTGCTCATCACAGTTATAACACAGACCTCTTTCCCTTCTGGCTGCCATTTCTGAGGCTGTGAGTAGCTTAACTGGGCTTTTGAAAGTAGGGTTGAATTTGTTAGGAGGGAAACTGGTGTTTGGAGTATCCATTTTTCTGGGAAGTTGGTAGGTATTTGGGGTGATTTTGGTAGGGTTTTTGAGTTTTTTTGTGATAGCTTCAAGGGTGATGAGCTGTTTCTTGCCAAGTTCTATAGTTTGTTGGAGTGTTTGTGGCTCAAACATGTTTATGAATGACTGTAATTCCTCAGACAATCCACTAACAAAACTTGCAATGAAGTAGTCTTTTGTGTAGCCCTGACTCATGCACAACATGCAAGCTCTAAGCTCTTCAAACTTTTCCACATAATCTAAGTAAGACCCTGTGTGCCTTAATTTGTTGAATTCTCCAATTATTTTAGCCTCTTTCAACTCTTCAAACCTGGCTGAAATGATTTCAATGAATTGGGCCCATGTAATATCCTCACATTTACTGTTAAAACTCTGAAACCATTGAGCTGCCTTGCCTTCAAAGTGCATGGATGCTAAGGTTATTTTCTGTTGATCAGGAATGTTTGGAATGATTTTGAAATAACCGTTGCACTTTAATATCCAAGCTCTGGGTCCAGTTCCATCAAAATGTGGGAATTCAACCTTTGGTAATGGGCTGATCATGTGAGGATTTTGTTGTTGTTGTTCCCACTGTAATTTAGGTCGGGGTGTGTGTGTTTGTTGAAAAGATCCCTCAGATTTAGAACCAGGGTAGGGACCAAAAAGGGATTCACTGCCCTGCCCTTTGTTTTTCTCAAGATTAAGGAGCTGTAACTGAATTGCAGCTAAGGTGTTTGATAGATTGTCATACTTACCACACATGTTTTGCACTTGTCCCTGCAACTCTGAGCCTAAACCCTTCATTTCCGAGCTTAAACCCTTCATTTTTGAGCCCAGATTTGAGATCTGCTCTTGAAGTTTCATTTCGGTTGCTTCTCGTTTTAATGCCTCAGTTTGTAAGTTCTGATCGTTCTTCCTTTGTGCTTCTTGCAGGTCCTTGAAACGAGTAGCTTCAGCCATGGCAAAATCGCTGGCTCTGATACCAATTGTTACAATTTAGATGTAACTATTTCTATATTTTGGGTATTTTTCCTTAGAATTACTGTAAGAGTTTAGATGAGGAAGGAGATAGATACAAGGAAGAAAATAGATATAGAGTGAGGGAGAAATGTAACAGAATATTGTTGCTTACTTCATTCCCTTCATTCATCACGCCTTAAATACAACTAATGGGTCCCAACCAAAAATAACAAAGCATGGGCCAAATACTACAAAAGCCCAAATAAGTAACAAATGGTCTAAATAATAATAGTGACCACAAATGTCCATTACTGCCAAAACCCAAATGAAATAAATCACTTATCCTAAGTCAACACAATCGATGCCTCTTGGTCTTCATTTTCCTCAAACTCGCCGGAACCCTTAATTCCTTTCTCCATCTCCATTTGCAAGATCCTTCCTTTATCAGTAAATCCTCCATTTTCTTCAGTTTCAAGCTTTTCAACACTTGTGTCCATGACATACAACCATAAATGATAATATATTTAATCAAATCAATTTCCGTAATAAATTTTTGTATTGTGTCAATAAATTACTATTAAATTAATATAAAATCTTGTTGAAAATATATCTAATAAATTTATAGTCAAAATTTCAATGTAAGTTAATTTGTAGTTAATGAGTAATAGTCATCGAATGTATGAAAATTAATTATGTTTTTCATGCATAAAATTTGCTAATTAATAAATACTAGCACGTAGCCCGTGCGATGCACGGGACATAAGTATTAATGAGTTATTTCCACAGAACTTGTCCGTTAAGTAGCTCGTGCGATTCACGGGAGATATTAAATGAGTGGACCATAGGGCTTGTCCGTTCAGGCCTAAAAAATAATAGAGTTTGATTATCTATTTTTTACATCTTTTTCATCAACGTTATTTTTTTTGTCGGAACATTAAACCTGAGTCTGGTAGCGTTAGCCCGTAAATTAATTAATATATTACCTCGCTCACATGTTTATAATAATATAAATTTAATTTCATTATTTATATTTATTCATTGATATAAGAAAAATAACAATTTTACGTAATCTTGTTCCTCGTATAATACTTATATTATTTCATTATAAAATTTATTGTAGTATAATGTCACTATTATTATAAGTTATAGATGTAATCTTCTTCTTCTTTTTGTTTTATGTAATTAAAATATTTAATGTATGTTCATATTATTTATTAATGTAATTAATATAAATTATGTAAATAAATTTAATGAAACATTTTGTACAAACATTTTACAAAATATACATAAATATTTTTTTTTAGAATTTAATTTTTTTACAATAAATAACAACTTTGAAATTCTATGCAATTATTAAAACCGATTAAATCTGTTTTATTAAAATCGATTAAATCTTTATTTATAGGCTTGACATTAAACCGATTTTATGAGATTTTTTTAACTAAACCGATGTTATGGAATAAAACAAATCTATACTTACATTTGACTTTTCCAGCAAAGGTAAAAAAATCGGTTCTGATTTTTATCCCATAACAAATCTTTAATGTCAAGCTATAAATACCAACACTAATCTGTAATTAATGTCATTCTATTTCCAGCAAACATTAATTACCTTTGACTTTTCTTTATACTAAATCTGGTAAATGGAATACCTTTTAATATAAGTATAGATTAATTAAATGCCAAATGTAGACGAAAAATTTTCCCACCCAAAATCATGACAATTATGACAATAAAAATTGGTCCATTACATAGATATAGATATAGATTATATCAAATTAAGGCCTAATTGAGACTCAGTTAGTTAAGAAGAATCGATTAAAACTAGACCTTGATTTGACAGTGTTAAAAAATGGTCCTGTCATGCAATTTCCCAATGGAAATGACATATAAACTATATCATGATATTTCGCATAATAAAGCACCAATTTTAAACCAAAACAATTATGAAATGCCGAATAAAATAAACTTCAAGGTTTTTTTTTATTATTATTATATTAATTATTTTACAGGAACAAATTTTTGCATAGTGGTTTCCCGGCACTAGCTGGTACGCTTTCGCCGGAGAACGAATTGTGTTTTCTTCAGGCTTGAAGAAAAAACCAAGGAAAGTCCAGATTAAGACGTCGTTGCTTTGGCTCCATTTCAAAACTCAGAGCTGTACTTTAGTTGGACGATGGATCAAGCCAAATTGCTGGGCAAAGCTCTGGTCAGAAACTCCGATAATCCCCAACTCGCATGGCTGCTCTTTAAGCGCACTCTCCTCGACGCCAACACTAGTGACCATTTTTCCTCCCTTTCCCTCATCGTCCCAATCCTCATTCGCGCCAAAATGTTCCCCGAGATTGACACTCTCCACCACCATCTCCTCCGTACCCCGACGCCCACGCTTAAGCCTTTGTATTCAATTGTTAATATGTTGGCCAAGGCCGGTCATGTTCACAAGGCCATTTCTCATTTTCAAGCGATCCGAACTAGTTTCCCTAGTGCCCCGCCGTCAGTTACCTTGTACAATTTGCTCGTCCAAATCTCTCTTAAAGAAAACTGTCCCAACTTCGTAACTTGGCTGTATAAAGACATGATCTTTTCCAAGGTGAAGCCCGAAACTTATACTCTCAACCTTCTGATATCTGGGTTGTGTGATTCCGGGCGGTTGGAGGATGCCCGACAGTTGTTCGATAGAATGCGCGACAAGGGTTGTGAGCCCAATGAGTTCAGTTTCGGACTCTTGGCACGTGGTTACTGTAGATATGGGCTTGCTTTTGAAGGTTTGGAGCTTCTGGATTTAATGAGGAACATGGGTTTTGTCCCTAATATTGTAATATACAATACATTTATTGCGAGCTTTTGTGAGGAGGGAAAAAATGACGAGGCAGAGAGACTGGTGGAGTGGATGAGAGAGGATGGCCTTGCTCCAAATGTTGTTACCTTTAACACAAGGATTTCTGCTCTTTGTAAATCTGGGAAGATCTTGGAAGCTTCTAGAATATATAGAGACATGCAAATGGATGAGGAGCTGCCAGAGCCTAATGTTGTGACATGTAACTTGATGCTGGAAGGATTTTGCAGGGAGGGTATGTTTGAAGAAGCAAACACTTTGGTACTGGCTATGAAAAGAGATAGTATGTTCTCAACTGTGGAGAGTTATAACATATGGTTGTTGGGTTTAGTGAGGAATGGAAAACTTTTGGAGGCGCACACAGTCTTAACAGATATGGCCGACTTTGGAGTGCAGCCTAATGCATACTCGTATAACATTTTGATTGATGGATTATGCAAAAATAACATGCTGGTAGATGCAAAGAAAGTTGTTAGGTTGATGAGAAGTGCTGGAGTTTCACCAGATGTGTTCACGTATAGCACGCTGCTCCAAGAGTATTGCAGGAAAGGAAAGAAAGTTGAGGCCAATAAAATCTTAAATGAGATGATTAGAGATCGATGTTTCCCAAATATTTATACATGTAATGTATTACTCCACAGCCTGTGGAGAGAAGGCAATATAGCAGAGGCAGAGAGGTTAATGCAAAAGATGAACGAAAGAGGCCAAGGATTGGATACTGTTAGCTGCAATATTGTGGTTGATGGTTTATGTAGAAGTGGAAAGCTTGATAAAGCAGTTGAAATTGCAAGTGAAATGTGGACTCATGGAAGTGCTGCTCTTGGCAATTTGGGGAACATGTACATTGGTCTGGTGGATGAGAATAGGAAGAGATGCTTGCCTGACTTGATTACATATTCGACAGTTATAAATGGGCTATGCAAGGACGGACGCCTTGAGGAAGCAAAAAAGAAATTTGTTGAGATGCTGGGGAGAAACTTGTACCCTGATTCAACTATATATGATATCTTCTTATACAACTTGTGTAAGAGGGGAAAGATATCATCAGCCTTTCAGGTTCTTAAAGACATGGAGAAGAAAGGTTGCAATAAGACCTTACAGACTTACAATAGTTTGATATATGGATTGGGCAGTACTAATCAAATTTTTGAAATGATTGGCGTGATGGACGAGATGAAAGACAGTGGTGTTTCTCCAAATGTGTATACTTACAGCATTGTTCTTAAGTCTCTATGTGAGGGAGAAAGAAGTGAAGAAGCAGCTTTTCTTTTCGATGATATGTTACAAAGGGGTATAACACCAAATATATACTGCTTCAAGTTGTTAATTAAAATCTTCTGCAGGACTGGGGAGTTCAGACCAGCAAAGGATGTGTTTGAGATTGCCATCAGTGTATATGGTCATGAGGAAGTACTTTATTGTTTAATGTTCAACGAACTGGTTGCTGGAGGGGAAATACTGGAAGCTAAGCAATTGTTTGAAGCTGCACTGGACAGATGTTTTGATTTGAGCAGTTTTTGTTACAAAGATCTCATTAACAAACTATGCGGTGAAGAAAATTTTGATGACGCTCGTGATATCCTTAAGAAGTTGATTTTGAGAGGTTGTAAATTTGATCCCGCTGTATTCATGCCCGTGATTGATTATTTGGGTACAAGGGGAAACAAACATGAGATGAATGAACTGACAGAACGAATGCTGGCGCTGAGTTCAGATATTCAGACAGAATATAAGGTTCATGGAGATGACAAAAAGTTAGGCAATAATGGCAGACAAAACAAAGATGGTGGCAGTGATTGGCGAACCATTCTGCACAGGTAGATAGTTAAACTTTAAGTGGCTGAATGAATTATTGCTCATCCTTTTTTTTTTTTTTTTTTTTTTTAACAATTCAAAATCCGTTTATTCAGTCATTTGGCTTATATGTTGTCTAATTTACCTGGTAGCTATCTTCACTGTTTCATGTAATTCTTTTAGCATCTTGATATACCATTTTCCTCTGCCCAATTCTCACAGAGATGATGGGAGTGCCATAGCCATGAAAACTCTGAAGCGAGTGCAGAAAGGATGGGGTCAGGGTAATTTATCATTTGAAGACCAGAAAAAACACTTTCTCGATGACTGGGATACTATTGTTTGAGCTTCTTAACTGCTCCAAGTCTGTGTTCTCAGTAATAGACTGAAAATTGGCTTCTGGTTGGTTTCTTTCATATGGGAAGGTTACGAATCTATCCACTATGTATTCTCCACTTATGGATCTCTCAAAGAGAGAACATAATTAGATTTTTAAGAACCGATGCAGCTACATTATGTTGAGAACATCAAGGAAATAACAAGTGCATGGTCTTTTTTTCTTCTAGGACCAATGTTTTGGGCCAGAAGAGAGCTGGGCCCAGGGTTGTTGAGCTTTGTATATGCAATGTAGAAAAACCCAATTTGGTTCCTGCAGTCCAGGCAGAGAGCAGTTATGGAGATATGAGATAGTGCAAACAAACGATAATCATCATTGGGTAAGATTTCATTAATGTATCTTTTTTGTATTTGTTCCATGTACGATATTTATATAGCTGTTAGCTAATCTTTTGGAGAAATTATTTCCATTGTTTTTGACAGATTGAGGCAGCAAAGTGCAGTGGTAACCATGAGTAGTGACTTGGTTTTAACATTCCTCACCCAATGATTTATATGTGGGGTAGGTTAAATATCTCTATAGCTGCACCAGATTATTGTGACTAGCATTGAAAGAGACGATCATTGTCAGGTAGAAGCTATGTCTTTCTTCTGCTGGAAGTGATTTAATTATTTCCTAGCTTGATTTAATTATTACTACCAAATGAACTTCCAAGACCGGGATGATAGGAGGCGTGATTACTGAGGGATAATTTAATTGTCAGACTCTTGCAGGACCTGTGTATTTGTGTATGTCTATACACTCTTCCAGATCAGCATCACAAGTCAAGAGCACCCACTCTAGGTCATCTAAATACTTCAGATCAATTCTAGCACTGTTGTCCACGTTAAAGCGCCTCAGTACCTCCTGCAGCAGTCGTTGGAAACTCCAGTGCGGCTGCATGCTGAAGCGTATCTTCTCTTCCCCAAAAGCAGCTTTCACTTTGAAACCACCCGACACATCAGTCGTATCCACATTGTGGTCATCTGTACTGAAAATAGCCTTGTGGCTGCCAGACGAAGAAGGTGATTTCAAACGACTTTGCAAATTGGTTGTGTTAGCTGCAGGGAGCTGAGTGCTCATCTGATGATCAGTCTTCTTTTCTGAGTTTATTGGTAACTGGCTGCTGCTTGCTGAAACATTTGGGGAGACGAGTTCTGGGAAGATATTGTAGAAAGAAGTGAGCTGAATAGATCTACGAGCTGAAGCTTCAGAAATCGTCTTGATTATGAAATCGTCTCCTTTTTGACATGTACAATATGATCACTCAAGAATATCATCACTGGGCATGATAATATCATCACTCAAGAATAAGAAATCGTCTCCTTTTTGTCATGTACTTTTGAGAAAATAAATTATCAGATTCATTGCTAGGCTTGATTATTACATGATTCCAATCAATAATAAGTCACTACAACTAGTTGCATTTCACATGATCAACTGGTTTTAAGTTTATTTAAGAAGATTGAAAGAACAATCAAAAGAAAACGAAGAGTTGAAGAAAAATGGATTTATAATATCTATATATATATATATATATATATATATAGGCTATATAATCAAATAGTAAAAAATAAATGCAAGAAAGACAAGAGGCATAATAATCTAAAAAGAAAAGTGGAAAGAAACTACAATCGCGTTTAAATATATAATTCATTGATTTAATGTAAAACCCCCGTATTTTGAATAGCTCGAAATTCCTGGACAAATTTAACTTATTTTGAAAAAAAAAAAACCTAACAACTACAGAGAATTAGCCTACCAACTACAAAGTAACCTAGTTGAAAGGTTAGTAGTCAACGGTCAACGCCGAAAGTCAACGTTCAACGCCGGAAGTCAACGGTCAACACCGGAGTCAACGGGTCAAAATAATATTTAAATAATTAAAATAATAAAAAGAGAAGAGTAAATCTTGGCCACACATGATGTACCAAATCTTGTCGCTAAAAATGAGTCTCACATCCTCACTTTAAATAATAGGATGCATTGGAACCAATCCCTAGTTATATATAATAAAAATAACTATTTACTAAAAATAGTAGTAATAAATTCTGGTATTGCATACCTTTTTTTGAAAACTTTTTAAATATATAACTAATTGCTTCAAATATAGTAAAAAATATTATTTCCTTCAATAATTTTTATTAATATGTGCAATAATTTCATTGATATTCATCATAATAAATTACAATATTGATTTTTCGTGATTCATGTTGATAATATTTTGATCAAGATAAATATTACAACATATTTTAAGTTCTAGCCATAATATTAAAATTTTTTCACAAATATTCACTTTTTATTCAAAAATATTTATAGAAAATCGTAACAGGTTAGGTAGAATTTTTTCTTTCAATTAATCAGGCGAAATCAAGTTGGTGAATTAATCTTTGCCAATATAATTTTTTCTTAAGCTTTATTTTGTTATATTATAAAAATAAATTATTCTTCAATTAATATAATTCACCATTTAAGAGATAATGACTAGATACATTAAATAATTTTACTAATGGTCACAAATTTAAATTAAAATATATTAATTGTTCTTTAGAATTTATGTGTATATTATTGGCAACCATGATTATTTTTTTAATTATTTTTTTTATTTTGATTTCTTTCTATAATGAAATTATATTTTCATTGCAGAATATGATAAATAAAATATAAATCCTTATAATGCAAATTAGAAAAATATTGATTATAGAAGGGATTGAGTTTTTAGAATTTGCTAAATCAAAGTTATTAATTAGTATACAAATTAAATTCTAAGAAAACATGTGCGTATATTTTGTAAAATATTTATACACTATTTAATTTTAAATTTATTTACATATTTTAAATTTATTACATAAATAAATAATACTAACGTGCATTAAATATTTTTTATTACATAAAATAAATAAAAAAAAAAGATGTACAACTTCTATAACTTTTATAAATAATTATGACATTATGTGACATTAAAATTTATAACAAAATAATAATTAAATATTATATGGTGAAAATGAATAAGTAAAAAACTGTTATTTTCTCGTATATCAACGAATAAATATATATACTAAGATCAAATTTATATTAGAATAAATGAGTTAGTCATGAAAAAATATATTAATTATTTCACAAGTTAGCACTAACATGCTCATATTTAATGTTCTGGCTAAAAAACAACGTTGATTAAAAGAGGTGAAAAAATAGATTATAACCCTATTGTGTTCTAGACCTAACGCTGATTAAAAATGTGAAAAATAGATGATAACTCTATTGTTTTTTAGACTTAAACGGACAGAAATTGGGAATACTTATTTAATATCTTTAATTGTCCCGGGCATCGCACAAGTATGTACTGGTATGGATTTATAACATATGGCATGGCATAAATAAAACGTAATATATATATATATATATATATATATATATATATATATATATATATATATATATATATATATATATATATATATATATATATATATATATATATATATATATATATATATATATATATATATATATATATATATATATATATATATATATATATATATATATATATATATATATATATATATATATATATATATATATATATATATATATATATATATATATATATATATATATATATATATATATATATATATATATATATATATATATATATATATATATATATATATATATATATATATATATATATATATATATATATATATATATATATATATATATATATATATATATATATATATATATATATATATATATATATATATATATATATATATATATATATATATATATATAATTGCTAGCAAAAAATTTAATAAAACCTAATAAATTAGCTGCCGCCTGATGCTCTGCTTCTGGGGGCTATTGCGATTGTACCAAATTTTGGGAACCCTGCCTTTACCTCTAAACCTAGTGCCTATGAAAGCCAGCTGGTGTAATCAATGTTGTTGGTACCTCAACGACATCCATTTTGGGGCTTTTCACAGTCAAACGAGAAGATTGCGAAAGAATGAAATTGTGTAGAATTGGCGATAGACTCGGCGAAGTCAGAATTTGTGTAGAAGAAAGGTGTAGTGGCCCATCCATACCCGGGCTTAGCTCTTTAAAGCAGATGTTGAAGGATTGAATAAGTGATACCATTGACTCCGTTGTCAGAGTATGAGCTGTAGTTGTTGACGAATCCCTTTCGGGTTCTCGGGACGAAGAGAAGAAAAAGGGGGGGTTTGCAGTTCGATTTATGCGATCTAAATCTTCTTCATTACCACTCTTTGGCTCAGGAAAGGCTCAAGCATAAAGAAATGGTTCTCGGCCATCGAAAAAAATCCTACAGCATGAAACTCGAAAACCCTATTAGGCAGAAGGCGAAATTGAACTCCTTTCCTCCATGTTCGTGTGAAAGTACCATCCGGATGAGCTCTCACATAGAGGGGAAAAGTTGGAATACTCTTATAAGGACACCTTTCCTTTGCCTATCGGCACATGAAAGGTCTTCCTCCTCCTATACGTAAACGTCTTATGTTGATGCAGTAGCAAAGACTTCCTTATCCCATCATATTTAGAAATTTATACCCTTCATGCTCTGACTAAGATTATCGGCATTATAGTTTTTCATACCAAAAGCACAAAATCGTTATTTGTTATGTTAATTGAGTAATAGTTATATTTTTTATTGTATCATACAATAGTTATTATTAAAATTAATAATTATATTTCACACTAAATGATATATGAAAGTTAAATAAACATACAAAATTATATTGTAAAAACTTTTTGTTCAAGTTATTTACATTATATTTTTTTATCTGATTAAGCGACTGTTTAAAAAAATATATTTTAATGTCATAGTAAAATTACTTAAAATCGCATAAGTAATTGTTATAATAAATTTAATATTCTTTAGCTAATTAATTGGTCATAATCCTTCAAATTTACAAAAAATTACATTAGTTATTATATTTATGCAATCAATATAGTGATTCATATGCAATCAAATCGTTATGTATTATTTTTTAACCAATGATCAAATATTAAAACATAATATCATTATCTGATTTATAATTTAATATTATATGCATAAATTTAACTCATAATACTCTATGTTTAATTTTAGTATTATATACATACAAATAATTTATAATATTTTATTTATATCTGTGTAAATGCACATGATCGAAAATGAAAATAAACTTTCATTAATTACATTTATGGCTGGAGACCATGTGGCACGAAATTGATTTTTTAAATTAAACCGCAATTGATTCATTTATATTAAGAAAAAAAAAAAAACATAACTAGTACGTGGGCACATCTCTATATAAATTCGTTCAAAATATGGCGTGAGAGGGAGCAAACATCATTTGCGTTGGAAAGTACAACAAGACACGTAAGTCTATGCAAATAGGTGATGGAGCGATTATTTAGAAACTTGGCCAAAGCATACAAAATGCGAACCCTATGACTAGAAAAGTTATATCTCGAATTTAAATAGTGGTCACTCACATTATTGTAGGATGATCATATAATTATACATATGTGTATATGTATGTGTGGCGGTGTGTTTGCTAAATGTTGTCTCTGTTTTTAGGCAATCAATATAGTAATTCATATGCAATCAAATACTTAAATATTATAAAAATAATTTTTTTATAATATTATATCTGAGGATAACAGGCGTAATGATGAACAATTATACTTTTGAACTAACATATACTTTCAAAATAAAATGTCATAGTTAAAAAACAATGTGCAAAATGCATCTTTTTAAAAAAAGATGACGAGTTGAGCTATCTAACATTTAGATAGCCTCATATAACAATTTGTGTTATATATTTTATGCCAGTGGTGTTATATATGACTAGTATTTGATCATGTGCATTAGCACATAAATAAAACATATTTCTGTTTGTATTTATTAATTAGACATATACTTCTATCATATAAAAATTATTACTTTTTCTTAAGTTATTTTTATCATTCAACATTAATTGAGATTTAAATTTTATTTTAACCATGCAAAGCTTACATTAGTAATATGAATAAAATAATTTATATATTTGTGGCATATATTAAGAAAATTAACATAAATAAAAAAAATTATTGGTGTATCTGATTTTTAGAAAAAAAAAAATATGTGTCAATCATATTTTTCTCCCAACAATGCAACCAAATATAGCGGTTACAGCTCTGAATGTGTCAATCAACGTTAAGTTCCAACATTAGCCGTTACACATTTGAATATTTTCTTACCAAATTTATAATTAATTTAGTAACTGATCTAAAAAATAAACTATATATATATATATATATATATATATATATATGTATATTAAGGTGTAACGGTTTTAACAGATTAGGGTGTAATTAATTAAAAAAAATGTAACTCTTTTTGGAGGGAAATGAAAATAGGTTTTATTAAATGCATCAGCTAGTAATTATATATATATATAGATATCTTAAGTTGATAGGGCACGTATTTGGATTGAAGATTAAAAAGTTAATTAGATTTAATAATATTTAATTGCAAATTAATCTGTCAGAAGTTTATTCAATTATTAATGGAGAGAGATCGGTCGAGAGGGATCTTAATTTGGAATCTCAAGTTATGATGTCATCATTATCGTGTTGAGTTCAGATTCAACTAGTATTAGTCATGTGCACATGCACAAGTTACAAAAAAGAAATAAATATTATATATAGAAAACTTTAATGAAAATAAAATTTTATGTAATGGTATGTATCACATTTATAATTAAATGATTATATTAATGATTCTTAGTTAGATTTTTATACTTTAATGAAAAAGAACAATATAAATTTTTTGTTATAATTAACCCCTCTCAAAAAGAGCGAAAAAACAAAAAAAAAAAAATAGCATTAATGAAATAGCACCTAAAAAATTTTTTTGTATGCATTTTATTTTATTTCATTAAATGTTAGTCAACCAAATTAAGTGATGTCATGAACCAAACACACACATACATAGATTTAACGTACGTGTAACAGTGATGGACTAAAAGGGGTGATGAGTCAGACAATAATTAAACGTATTTTCAAAATTAGTAAAGGGCGATTGTTTATAAATTGTACAGTAAAAAAACCAATCAAAACTCAAATTTAAATAAATTTTAACTCAACCCCACTATCTCCAATATTATCAATACAATTAAATAATATCAACTAATCATTCTTACACCTTACATCAATTTTAATTCACTATTCATCCACTCACATAATTTTAACTAACCATCACTTACAATCATTTTCTCCTACCTTTATATCAAATCAACTTTAATTATTTTATTTTAAATATTATTTTAATATATCCACTAACAACTAACCATACCATATTTTTTTAAATTTATCTATAATTAAAAAAAAAACTAAAATTTTACAAGTTAAATTCATATTCAATCACCCTCTTTTTTAGGTGGATTTATAATGTGACAACTGACATGGCACCCCGTTAATACTGTTAACAAAGTCAAACCTCCATTATCTACATGATGACGTTGTCGACTGCTATAATGTTGACTCATGGAAATAATAATACGCAGGTGCCGTAGACTTCATAACATAACACCTCTATTATTATATACCAAAAATAGATCCATTATGGAATTATGTATTATTCACTGGTATATACGGTCAAATTCTTGGATTATAATTATTATTATTATTATTATTATAAAGACAAAAATATTTCGGGTTCAATGAAACTAATAATGGCAGTTGACAAATTATCTGGTGAACAAGTATGTTGTAAATTTGTAATACGAGCCAACGCGCTTTAGAGTTTGTACTTTAAAAAAAAAAAAAATTGAGGTGCGGGGATTAATTAATTCGTACATACTTATATACAAGAAACCACTATATTTCGAAAATATACAGCATCACATGTATTCCAGTCAAGAAATGAAAACTTGGTTGAGAAAAACTAATATAATGTCGGGTAATTCTGTTCAGCTGGCATCGAATCTTCTTCACCAATACATGTAGTTCAGTTAAAATATAACACACATAAATAATGCACTGGTTCTAGTTGAAAATCTACCCTGCTAAGGTGTGTATAACTTGAACGACCTTCATCCCCTATGAGAAGCCGTACATCATTATTTATAATTATTATTATTATTTTATCACAACATGTACACAATGCTGATTGCTAGAAGCACCTCGTCAGTTTGGAATTTGTATTGGTTCTGATAAACATATGAGAGCCTTTGTAATGCTTTTCTTACTTGTGTAACTCATCTTGCTGAGTAGAGGAAGCTTTAGAAACAATCTTCTTTCCACATTCACCCAACATGCCCAACATGCCAGCTCGTTCAATCTCTTTTGCTGAAATCAACACAAACAAAGACAAGACCAAACTGAATTATACATTATTTTGTTTCATCAAAATTGTGAGTAAAGATTTTGATGGTATTCGTAATGGAAAGTAACAAGTGATACAAAATTAAGAGTGAATCGCATCACCTCATGTAATAATCAAATTTCGAAAATAATAATACGGTTCCATAAGCATATCTACTTTGGGCATGCTGTGTGAGAATTACTCCAAGTTCGGTAAGAAAATCCTGGTCTTTTCTCTTATTTAATTTTTTTCCTTTACCAGTAAAAAATGGTAACAACATCCCTAGACATGAGAAGTTCTGATAATGGGGAAAAAAAAAGATCATTTTAATTACCTTCTGTTCAGCAAACCATGCCATAACTCAACCCCACCTTCCAAAATTTTATAATTTGCATGATCACACAAGATACGCCAGACATTGTAGACACGACATATATCCATTTCAGAATCAAAGAAAAAGAGTGACATAGCATCCATGGAATCGTGAAAGACAGAGGAAGGACATTGAATATAATAATAGTCACATTTATGATAATTTTGTCACGGTACAAGTTTGCAAGATCATCAATGCTTTTCTGATGATGATGACCATCGCCACACACAATGCCAATGTTCAATGAATATCTCGTTTATAATTTATTGAGAACTTCCGAATCAGACAATTTCTCTGCTATAAAGTGCAAGACAACCTAACTTCCATTATGAATAGATAGCATACAGCACTGCCAATTTTCCCCAAAGAGCTTTTTCTTATATTTTTCCCTTTTTGGTGGTTGTGGGGAAAATGAGAACCTTATGCAAATGGAGTTATTCATTCATAAAAGCAACGTATCCAGAACTCAAAAAGCTATGCATAAACACAGAAAGCAAAAAGAAAACCTCAATGTGTAGGAGGTTTACTTAAGGCCATTCATCCACATATGAGCCTTAAAAAGAAAAGAAGCAAACAATAATGCAGAAGGTAGTATAACAGAACCAACTTACATCAAAAAAACAACATAAAGGTTTCCATATAATGATAAAGACGATACCTTCCTCCATAGAGAGCTTCATTGATCGTTTTTCAAGTTCAACAGCTTGCCTGCTGAGCTCAACGGAGGATAGCGACCGAAGCACTGAACATCAACAAGAAACTCAGTATTTGAAAAGAAATTATAGAAAGAATTAAATGAGAATGATAATATTAAAATGAAATGACATATACTCTGAACATATTGTTGGTTCGACTGATCCAACGTTTTCAACAAACTCTGCAAGCAGCGATATCGTTCTTCCCAGGACGCAACAACGTTTGCTTTTCCCAAAGGTTCAGATGACGGATTTGAACTGTTGATATGGACATACTCAGGCTCAGCGCTTTCTGCTGATTTGGCATTACCAGGGGTTCCAGGAGAAGGAGAAACCGAGCGTCTCGTGGATGAGGAATTCGGTGAAGAAGCCCTAGGCAGAAGTGTGGCATCAGGAGCGCAAGTCATGGATTTATTCACCTCCGTAGATTGTTGAGCTGGCACACACTGGCCGTCAGACTTCATGGAATCTGTTTTTTTCGAATCTGTTTCAGGTTTTCGGCGAACATAGACAATGTGACCACTCCTAGCATTGCTTCCGGGAGATCTATTTACAAACTCCGATACGGAACTTTTGGTTCCAGTAATCTTATCGATCTCACCAGCAGCACATTCACTATCAGCCATTCCAATAGATTTTGACACCGTCATTGGGCTTTCATACAAGCAAAATCCAGCAATTGTGATTTCTGTTCAGGAATTATGCTGCTTATCAGATATAGTAATTATGAAAAAATTCTAAACTAAAACAAGCTACAAGAGAGTTCATCAATTATAAGGACACAGATGAAAATGATGAGGAATTCAGCTCCTTCGACAGAATGGGTAAGAACCATTCACATTGAAATGACAGTCCATTCTCTCACACGAAACCTATTACTAAAATAACTCTGTTAAAAGTTGAAAACATTATTTGGCACAATTCAGAAGATCATCTTCTGATGACTCCAGCCAACAAGATAAAACTGCCACAACTACGAAACATGAATTCGGAAACTTTTTATATTATGATTTCAAGAACAGAAGCCACTGCATTGTACCAACGGCTTCATCTAAAAGCCCAACAAGAATCCATTGCGCAAGCCTACTAATATACCTAACAATCAGTCAGAGTGGAATAAAATGCTTCAAAAAACTTTTTATCACAACCATTACTCGCACCAATTATTCAATTCTCTCAAAAATTGAACCAAAATTGAAACAGAAACAAGCAAACAGTTGAAATAAAATGTAAAAAGGGTACACCGGGGAATGGGTGTAAATGAAATCCCTAAGCCTACCGCAGAATTGAACAGCTGATCACATCATTTAGCGCACAAAGCAAAACTTAGCAATTAATTAGAAAACAAATTCGAGGGCACAAGCGAAGTGATGAAGGAGCTTACAAAGGCCGGTGGGAATGTGAATTGCGTCACTTGAGGACGGCGAACCTGCGCAGCCGCAGATATACATACATATATACACATAAACACACACACAGAGAGAGAGGGAGAAAAAGCAAAAGTTGGGGAAATCTAATCTAATTTGAGGGAATTGTTTGGGGTAAGCGGACAAGTGTAAAATTCGCGCTCTTCGGTTTTCAGGACCCCCCTCTTTATCCATCCCTTCAATTACTTAAACTAAATATTGGTTTATTTGTTTATTTGTTTTTTGTTTTTTGTTTTT